TGTGGGTAGAAGGGTGTAGGGAGGGTGATTGGATGTTGTGCACGAGGATGTGGTGGAGCAATTTTCTTATATACACTGAATTTTTTTATTATCCTTTGTGGCCCTCTTTTTTTCTACTTTTTTGATATCTGTGTAAATCCCCATCAATATGTTAAACATTTTGGCCTTTTTTTATTTAGTGAAGAAGCCCGTAACATTAAGTTCTACGGGCAGATCTTCTTCGAAGATCGAAACTGCAAGTTCTTCTTCTGCACCCAAAGGTAATTGTCTGCCTCCTTGGCGAATTCTGAAATGCATATTAATCGGCATCTTTAATTACAGTTACCATTTTTGGTATTGTGGAATCTTATTTACACGGCTGGTGCTTATAAAGTTTGCCTTTGGCTTATCAACCCCACTGGCACTGATTTTATGCGTTTTTAATTGTCTTATAATGCTACAATTCCTCATACCTGTGTGCTTGAAATTTTTGCAAACTCCGAGTTGGACGCGAATCGATTTAGAGTTTTCTTTATTTTTTGCGATTTCAGGTGCGGATGTCACTCGGTCTACCACTGTCGAAGCATCCACAACCAAGAGCTCACCTCGTGACCGTTCGTCTCATTCAAGCGGTAAAGTTTGCACAATTGCGAAGCCTCATTAGGGTCACTACATACAACATACTTTTATATGCTGGCAGTGAATCCCTAGAGGTGGTGGCATCATATCTGGGCGAGTTGGACAGATTCAAATGACTAAATTTATCTTGAAGACACTTTTCGAATTTTAAAATGCCTATTGGACGATCTTCAAAATTAAAGGCTTCATTTGGTAGGAGTGAAGACTAGAAATGTTTGCTTCTTTGTAGAATAGATCGACGAAATTTTATAAGGCAGAATTTGTAAGGTTTTTCCGGTTAGTCTGCACATTTCACGCCAATCTCTACGGTAGCTCAAGGAAATTGGAAGGAAAGGAGAAAAGCCAATGCGCCTATTCATAAGGTGCAAACTAATAGTCTTGCACCTAACAGACATTTCTAGACATAAGCAAGAGCATGGCTTTGCCACGGCAGTACTTGGCCACTGTCGAACAATCTTAAAATTAGAACGCTAAGTTTAAGTCGAACGAAGTTATTGGTCTGATCTGCGGTCTTTTGCCATTTAAACAAACGATCATCTCTAGAGATTCTACACTTTTAACATTACATCTATTTCTGCCCTTATTTCACAACCGCGAATGCGGACAGCTTATTTTAAGGCGAAAACTGGAAGGTAAGGCAGCTATAGTTGTGTAGAATTAAGTAAGTCTAGCAGTTTTCCGGCAGCAAGATGAACACTCGATGTAGGAATCACAAACACAATCATGTTTCTGAAGTGTGATGAAACATTTGAAGTGGATGATCTTTTAAAATGGAGTTGAAGTTGATTAAACATCATATGATTTAATGAACAATTGCTCATTTCTGACCATAGCAGCATTAAAACATGTACGCGTTCTAATATTCTGTTCCATCTTTAGCGATTGATATGGCGAAAATACCTTTAGTGGTTGGAGGAGTGATAAATAGCGGGGAAATTGGAGGACCCCTTGATCTTCAAGCCAATTTACGCGGCGATCTGGGTATCAGAAGTCGAGGCATACTTGGAGGCCTAATTAATACTGGTTACATTGGTGGAGGCATCAATTTGAAGTCTTTTGCTGAAGGAGATAAAGATAAGGAAGAAGGCGGAAGTGAGGGTGAAAGAAGAATTAAGGAAGGAGGTGGAATTGAGGGCGAAGGTGGATACGGAGACGGAGGCAACAGTACTAGTAGCGCAGGTGAGTTGAGTGATAACATCCTCTCAGCTTTTCTTCCTACATTATTCCTCATGAGTATTTTACTGAATGATTGATATCAAGTTCGTCGAACTCACGTTACCAAGCATTTTAGAAGTTGGAGCATTCGGCCCAACAGCGATTGCAATAATTTCTATCATCGCGATCGCTCTAATAATTTTGTGTATAATCATGTTTTGGATTCGGAATACGCGGTGCGCACGAAGGTATGTGTACTTAATCTGATCGTATCTTATAAACGTGGTTAGGCGTGGAAGTACATGCGTTCAAATCTATTTTTGAACCTCCAAATCAATGAAAAATTGAATCATTGCTTGTTTATAATTCAACGATCACAGCGATGATAATGTCTCTGGTACGGATGAGAAATCCAGATGAAAACTGTGCATTACCTAGGCGTGCTACATAAAGCAAAATACACGTGCTCCGGAAGGAAACGCTTGCCAATTTTATCGAGAACCCACTGTTAGCACCCTATGAATAACAATGCGAGCTAAATGAAATTTCAATGTTGCTTTCGTTCTGCTTTTAAGAGACGGACATTTAAAATCAAAGAGTATCGTGGTGTAGGACAGCCTTGCCTACTTTCAGACTCCTGAAGCTCGAACTTTAATGGAAGGTTAGTTGAGAACATCATGGACAAAAAGAAAAAATGGAGGAGAATAGTATGACGAAATGCTGGTGTTGCCTTGAAAACGTCTCTTTACGCTCTTTACGAACTAGTTTCGTGTTTGAATTGTTTCCTTACCTCTTTCCTATAGAAGTTATCTTAAAACATTAGCATGCACTGCATGTGAAGCCCTCTTTAGGGCTGCAGCAATGAAAGACCGTCTGGGACTATGTCTTCTGATGTTTAGGAAAAACAAGAGCCTGAATAAAGTAATAGGTATTCATAAGAGCCAAGGATTGGATGCATAATACTAAGACAACACTTGAAGACTAATTAAACTCGTTAATATTTTGGGTAGAATTATTTTCTGCAAATACTTCCGTAGATGCTTTTTAAGTACTTAAAATTGAACCAAATGCAGAATTATAGCACACTGCTTTAGTTTTAACTGCTTAAAATAGATAGTTGGTTTGCCCTTAGCATCCAATAAAACAGTTATGTTTGTCCGAGCAAATCGTGGGGTAGATTTTCGAACAATACTGGTTGACCCAATGAAATTGTTGGCGATATTCTCTTGGTAGGTCATTTACTCTCACACATACTGCAGGGATTATGCATGTCTAACAAAGTCGCTTACATCATTTCAGTTTTGGACTCTATTCATGAAGATATTCAACGAAAGGACTGTTGTTAATTTCGCATTTCCTAAAGCGCCTGAAAAAGAAGGTTATCTCCTTAAGAAGCGATCTGAAGCAAAGCGATCTTTCAATCGACGATATTTCGTTCTCCATGGAAATATCCTTGTGTACAGTGAGAGTAGATTCGTCAAAGAGCCACTCGGTGTCATATTTTTGGAAGGGCACTCCGTCGAACTTGTTGATGAACGGATGTTTGCCATACATTTTCACACTGCTGCGTACACAGGACGAAGTTACATCCTTCAGGCGGAATCTGAAGCAGAAGCGGAGGTTAGCATTGTATTTCCTCTTTACTCTTTCACTATATGTTTCGCACTACTATTTGCTTGAAACTCATTTACACTTTTCCCGATATCACTGACTCCATTCTCAAGCGCTGAAAACATTCCAACTTCCGTTGATTGTATCGTATCGCTATTACACTGGTAGATTTTCTGACTTTGACGTTTCTATGCATTAGGCATCGAATGTTGTTTGCCATCTATCTACTTCCATAAGTGAATTAAGTTGTGGAAATGCGACGGTATTTTGTTGTCCTTTATGCTAGGATTAGTATTTTGCTTAGGTGGTATTTATGTTTTTCGCTACTAAATCCTCATTTCACTTACTATGCACTTGGGTAACGTGATGACTATCAATGATTGAAACGAAATAGTGTTTTCTGGTTCATTGTCCGTAGATCAGTTCATATGGTTGATCGGCATTGCGTATGCATCAACTTTTTTCAAAAACATGTGATTGTGAGGGTGTCATCCTTATGTAGTCCTGGATGCAGGCTTTGGCCCATTGCGGTTCAGAGTTTCTCATCCTCTCTGTGGAGGAGCTTGAGGATGCGTTGCGGGCGCTCAATTCCCTTGCGGATTGCTCAGAAGGTACCAGCACAGAGAATCCTGTCCAATGCACTTCAGTCATTCCCACTCCTTCATCTGCTGCTACTGTTGGTCACAGAAACCCTTTTAACTCGCCAATAACGGTCCCACAGGATCACAGACAGAGGCATCAAAAGCAGCAACTGCACCAACATTCCGTCGAACATTTGGCTGGTCTGCTGACCCTCTCCTGGAAGGGGATGCAAAATAACGTTCGTGAGTACCTCGACAGTGCAGTCGCGTCTGCCGAAGTGGCAGAACAGCAGCATCTGTGATCACTGTTTTGCCCCAACGAATTTTCGTACATCACTGCTTAACTATTCTTTCTTTTCTTTTGTCAACCACAGTTGTGTAAAAAAGAACTATTTATTAAAGTTGTTTATCTAGAGCGGAAAGTTGGAAAGGACCAAAGACGATGGACTTATCGCCACTTGCAACTAGGTTTTGAGATTGCAAATCGCATGCTGCCAAGACAATTCAAGCGTTGAAATTGAGCAACGAAGAGGAATTGTCCAGCTCTTGCGGTTATGCTACTTGACTGTATAAGTTTTGGGGTGGATATAGGTTTTAAGGATGGCGTTGAGGGAAATGTTGCTAAGTTGATTGACTGGATGCCTGATCAGCTCTCAGGTCCGCTCCTTAGTTTCCCTAAAACTAATCTACTAAAAGTTCTCCATGAAAGTGCAACGAAATGGGAGTGAATAGACATTTGAACTATTATGGCCGACTCCCACTAATGGAGTGCCTGTCAAGATAGGCATCCGTCCAAAACCGTACAGAGGTGAAATTGTAAACTCATGACGCCATTGTCCATAGTGTGTCAAAGAAGAGTAAGTACAACGTCACACGTTAGGTCATTGTTTGATGGTTGTCTATGCAACAACAATCCACTCGAAGGTTTCACATGTGTGGCCATTCCTCAATACCCTTTTAGAGGTGTAAATTGGTTTTTACATGACAGTTTCAATTCATTTGATCGTTGCAAGGCTCGCTAAGCAAAAATTTAGGTGACAACGCGTTTAAGGACAGCACAACGCACCGATCGCAAATTCACTGCAGCATACCTCTGATCGTAGGACACCCGATGCAGCAAAACGAATGAAGTAGGTGAGGAATGTGTGAAATTCCTTACTTAAAGGCTCGAAATCTCATGCTGCAAAATGCATTTGGTTCTAAACAATACGGGGCCAGAACTGCCAACCTCCATGCACCATTCCACAATGAAGTCGAGCAATAAAGAGCATCCGTTTCTTTTAGGCTCCAAGCCGTTTGAAAAGCATTAAATGTATCTGTATCTGTGACTACTTTCATAAACGACGAAAATTTGGGTCTTCCAGCCTTTTACTATCGAACGAGAATTTCAGATACGTTACAGTGTTGTGATGATAGCCACGAAGGCTGGCAATAGTAGCCGTCAAAACCAATGTTCATGAAACCACGATTCCCCAGTGTAACAACAGCCCAAAGCACCTTTAAGTGAGTATAGGTTAGTAGAAGTCATCTACATGATCGAGCTATCGTCAATGGCTCTTAAATAGTCTGTGCACCCGCTTAATACGACTTGAACCTCGCAGTGGATGAAAACCTCAATCCCTCTAAAGTAGGCATAATCCCTGCCCTTTATTCCTCTAGAAAGTTTTCCGAATTAACTGCAACGAAATGAAACAGTTCTAAGTCTTACGCGTCAGAGACGGTAGTTAATTTCAAGCGCCATGCTTGAGGAGGTCGAAGTGACCTAGAAACAAGAATGAACTACTCTTCCAACTCTTATCACTCTCTACCCTTGGCACTGTGCGCACTTAGGTCAATCGACGAGCTCGAAAGACGGCATACTTCCAGGAAGACGGTCAAGCGTGGGTCCGCCAACAGTGATGTTGAGACTAAGGTAACAAATATATATAACTTGTCCCAAGACCTGAAGCTTAATAGCAAGAATAAGTTCATTGCGTCGTTGGGATATGACTGTCAGAATCCGAACAAGGTTATTACGATTAATCTCAACTTTAGTTTAATTGACAGTACTGGCACCTTGATAGTATCAAGGGCACTATTGTTAAGGACATCGATAGAACCTGTTGTACTATATACTAGAGCTTAAGTTGACCTTTGTGGGGGAGAGACAGGAAGTGACATCGAACGCGAATGCGGTACGCGAGGACCGTGAGGAATCAGTCTCCGAGTGATATCCGCAATTCGACTCATCTGTACTCCTATCCCCGTTCTTCCAATAAACAACGCCTGATAAATGTCCTGCAACCAACCCTCTCTTGAAGTTCGTGGTTCAAGGCCATGAGGGTAGGCAGCCAAATCCTACATCACTAACATTGAAAAGCGAACTCGACATTTTCAACGACTTCTAATCTAGCACATTCCGTTCGTTGCATGTACTTACGGTGTGGAGGAGGAGCATTTACCGCGGTGACGAAAAAATCTCTAAACACTTCACAATGAAAGAGTCGGGACCGACATTTGCATTCCGCATCACCTTATTCCAACTCACTGCTGCTCTCACTCACTTCATCTAGGTGCAAATGAAAAGACAGTACCAACATCCATCGTCACTCTTCCCACCATTCCACACCACACCACACACACACCTACCATCACCGCGCTACCCTTTCTCAAGTGC